ACCATTAATGGAAAATATGTCATGCAATGTGTCATTCGATGGTGAATTTGTCCATATTTTTTTTTTATTTTGTATGGTGCAAGAAGAGTGAACTCGCACCCAAGGTGAGCTGCTGTGGGGATATAATGGTAGGGGTGTATTAGCTCTTGTCGTAGTTGCCAAGGAACGACCTTCTTCCAGAGATGACATTTGCCTTCACGATGCAGGTTTTATATAGGTGTTCTCCGAGAATTCTGAAGTCAGGAAAGTTGTCCGTATTCGATTGCACCTTCTCATCAGCACCATCCGAAGAATCCACCTAGCTAAGAGAGACGTAGGGTTCTTCAAGGTCTTCAAGTAGGTCAGACTCGAGTGATTGCAGTAGACTGTGAAGTGTGATATAAAAGGCGCCTATAAGGTCCCTGTAGAACACTGTAAAGGACTCGGTTGGACCTTGGACGCGTAAGTAGAGGTCTTGTTTGTTGATTGTTCTGCAGGTTATTACTTGCTCTTGATTCTCTGACCACTTCTATAGTTGAAACAAGAGCTACCTCAGTAACAAAATTCGATGATAGACGATGTCTTCAACTCTTGATCCGTCTGAAAAATGTCCGTAAAAGGCAATATCAAAGAACACGTGATCCAACCATGAAAGTTATCTGGCGGGATTTGCAAAAACCAATTAAAAAACGATTACCCAAGTTCCAAACACTTTGGGAAGCTCGCAAAAATATTGAAAAACTTCCATTGCAGCGCTTAAATAAGGTGGTAAAATTTTATTCTTAAATGGTTAAAAAGCTCAGAAACTTGTTATGCAGTTTGAGACTACCCATAATTTCCGTTTGTATCTTACTAATCCTATTGAAAATAAGGTTGTTCGGGAATGTATGGATATTTCCTCTTGGGAAAATGATTTTGATGATTCCCGGAGAACTGATTTGGACAAAGTAAGAAGTACGAAGTATGAATCATCATAAAAAAAACTTCCAGAGAGTATTTGCCCCTGTGGTAAAATTATAAAAATTCTATGAAACTGTACTTATAGATTATATAGATCAGAATCCAATACAATCGACTTCAAATACAAACGCGGTATGAGAGATGCATTGGAAAAATATATGAAAAGATTTACGAAACGTTTCATAACATGATTGGGAACCACATTCAAGAAATATAATAAAAAAATATTTGCGATGAAATATCAACAACGAAGTGCAGGCCACCATTCCATTTCATTTACTAAATAACCAAGCAAACCCCCCACTTATACGTACGTCTCTATACCTTCCCTCGAAGATGCCAGAGATTCCAAGCAACGTACACGAATCTTGCTAGTAAAATTTGCTTCACTGTGAAAAAGAAAATCCATTACTCAAAAACATCCATAATCTTTTGATCACATGTCCGCAAACTTGGCAGTGGGCCGCATTCGTTCGAGAAGCATGTTCTTGTAAACATCATGCAGCTACCGAACTTACAGGGGGTAAAACCGAACCCGAAAGATCCCACACAAGAAACGGAGAAACATTTCATAAAGATATTTATCAAATTCCAAACGCCATTAGTATTATTAAGCGAGTGAATCTTCTCCCCCCGACGTCGCCAGGTCGCTCGGTCGGTAGCAGGCAGTGAGATTTTGCGGCTTCCGGGAGCGACCGCCAACTTGGAATGCGGAACAACGATTTTCCCGTTCCGTTCGTCTTTCAACCATTCATTCATCCGTCCATCCATCGGGTTTTTGCTGGTTTGGAGTAATACGCATAAATATGGCTGATGGAGCGACGTTGAGCCTTGAACCTTCATCTGTCATTTCGCATGTATATGAACGAAAAATGTCTTCATTGTTAAGAGAATCCTACAATCCCGGAAGCCTACGCAGGGTGGGCGCGTCGATTGTGGCAGTTGTTTAGAGGCATGTTTTGAACAACTTGGAAGTCCCGGGATATATTTGAGAAGTTTTCAAGGGGGTAAATCCATTGAATTTTTGCTGAAAGTCTGCAGAGCTCATCTTCGGATTAACCTCGAGGCTCGAAGTCCTCATGGTTTATTTGATTCACCATGGAAGTCTTCAGAATGCTCTGAGATATGCCATCTTGAAAGACCTTAGGACTTACTTTGAAAATCCCCACCCCTCACATTGGTCTCATGGGGAAGTCCTCAGCACTCATCGAGAAACACATCATCTGTACTAGCCCTCGAAGACCGTCGAATGTTCTGCCGCAATTGACGTATCCACCCTACAACATCAGCTAACCAACCGCACAAAGTTCCACACCCGAGACAGCAACGCCGCTTCTGTTGGTTGAGTCTGCAACAAAAACGTGACCTGGGCCGATTTGTACCCGAACAAGTGATTATTGAATGAGTTACACAATGTGACATTTATCAAACTTAACAATGAAGGAGTTCCGCCGACTGGAATGGGATGATGATGCTGCACACTCTAGCCAATTTTGTATTGAGTTTGTTGACGAAAATTGCCTATTCAAGCGAACGGCAAACTTTACCATCAACAATCCGTTCCCCGGGTTGCAAATGGGCACACACTTTCCAGCCGGGCTACCATCCACACACACACATTGTTCCGAAGTCCATGCCAGCGCAGCGGGAAGAAAAACTTACTTGAAGAATATGGATTTCTTTTCCGTCGTTTCGCAAGCGTTAGCAAAATTGTACTTTTCGCAAAAGTGGGAAATTTATTGTGTATGTGAAATTTTTTTTCGGTTTCTGTTTTTCGAATACATAGTATGTACGGGTATGAAATATATACATGTTCGACTAGAAACGTTGGAAAATAGAGGAGCAGTAGCAGCAGTCATTTATCATCGTACGCAAATGTTCCGGAAAGCGATTTGGAGCGTACGGTAAGCATCTTTTGCTGTTGGTGTGGTGCCTGTTTTTCGTTCTGTAGTTTACAGCAACCCTACGGTTATAGTGATGAGAATGGAACCGAAAATAAGGGAGGAATAGTGTTGGTGAAGCAATTTTGATAGCTTTGCAAAACTTTGCTGAAGAGCGATTTAATATTTATACACAAATTCCAAGCTTGTTGTAAGCCGTAAAATGCTCGTAGGTGGATATATCATGTACGAATACGTCTAAAACAATGAAAATCAAAATGTGAGTGCCAAAGTTCTATCAGAAATAATCTAAATATACTGTTTGAGTAGCTCAACTGCAGGGCTGGGCACACTTCCGCTATCATTCGTTAACAGCTAATAAGCTGACGGAGTTATCAAGTTGACAGCCATTGTGTTCAATATTGATTTGAACTGTCTATATCAGACAAAACATGCAGATCACCATCCAGGAAGAAACACAAGAACTCATCAAGACCATCCTAATAATTAATACCATTTACAAAATTATTCAAAGTCTCTCGGCTCCGTAAAGTTTGTTTAATCGATTGAGCTTAAACAAATAAACGAATTGGAAAACGATTTTAATTGGATTAAATAATAGTGCAGCCAATATTAATAAAAATGGGCTCAACCAACTTAAATGGAGGTGATTATAGGATTCGGCCTAATGACCCAACATCATCCGGAAATCTGCTCAGTTCTATGGTAAATTTCTTCTAAGGAGCATCCATTAAGTATGCCACGCTTGAAGGGGGCTACAAATGTGTGACAAGCAATGCATTAGGTATTGAAAAAACGTGTCGAAAAGGAGGAGGAGGGGGGATGATTTTCTTTAAATTTCACGTGACGTACCTAATGCATGCTCCCTAAGAGCCTTCTAAAAGACCTCCTTGAACGTTCCATGGGGGGTCGATATATCTGCAATGTAGTCCTAAATATTTGCGTAGCTTTCTTAGAAGACAATCAAGCTTTATCCCAAAATGATCCTCTAAATTCAACCTGAAAGACTATTTCTTGGGAATGTATTGGATTTCCTCTAAAAACCCTCTGGAAAGCTTTCGAAATCATTTGGGCTTGGTATAAAAGTACTCTGGATTTTCTCTAATACTGCTCCATAAGTCCTCTGAAAATGGCACAAGAAGCCCTCTAGACTTGCTTTAGAGAACTGGTTATGTTAACTAGTATTCTGAACTTACTCTAGAGGCCCTCTGAACTTGCTCAAAAATGCCTCTAAACTTGCTCTAGAAGTGCTTTAGAAATCCCCTGAACTTGCTAAAGAGTAATACGATCAAAATTTGGTCAATATCAACTTGACGTATTTCTTTCAATTTTGAATTTAAAAAACCTGAACACCCCTCATTTTGAAGGTGTGTGTGTGTAGAATGTTGCTCCTATTTTGATTTTGGAATTCACTCTTCAGTTGTCAAAATGCCGTCCAAGCAAGAAGAGCAGCGTATCAAAATTTTGCTCGCGCATCGCGAAAATCCGAGCTACTCGCACGCAAAGTTGGCAAAATCGCTAAAAGTTGCCAAATCAACCGTAACAAATGTAATTAAAGTGTTTGGGGAACGTTTGTCGACAGCCAGGAAGTCTGGATCGGGGGGAAATCGAAAACCTGAAGCCGCTGAGACGACAAAGAGAGTTGCCGGTAGTTTCAAGCGAAACCCTAACCTCTCTCTCCGAGATGCCGCAAATAAGCTGGGTGTATCGTCTACAACCGTGCATCGAGCCAAAAAACGAGCCGGACTATCGACTTACAAGAAGGTAGTGACTCCAAATCGCGATGATAAACAAAATACGACGGCCAAAGCGCGATCCCGGCGGCTGTACACGACGATGCTGACGCACGGGAAAAAATCCGTTGTCATTTTCATGAATAAAAAATCATGAAACCATAAAAAAATTCATCCCATGAAATCATGAAAACAATTCATGCTTTCATGAAACAAGCGACGAATATCATGAACAAAAATAATCGCTATCATGAATATAAATCATGGCCGTTAGCAAGCGTTACGCGTAGGCGTTTGCCTGTCAAACCGTGCTTATAAAATTTCAGCGTCCATTGCGGTCGGGTGTGAATTTGGAAAAGGAAGCGAATAGAAGCAACGTGTGATCCGTTTCAGTGTCCGGTGCTGGTTTAATCATTTTATTACAATAATGGAACTGGATCAAGTACAATATCTTGCCCTCGATGGGCCAATACTGCCAACAGCGGCAGCCCAAATTACGGAGGAACAGAGGACATACAGAGTAGACTTAGATCCCGAAGCCCCAGAGCTGGATTTTGAAGCTATTCTGTATCGGGCTGGCCTGGACAATTACGCCAGTATTGTGATAAATGACCATGGCATTCAAAATGGCAGAGAGTTCAGCGAGCTTCAGGAAGGAGGTATAAAACTCTTCTGCAAAGTAGCACGGGATAGAGTCATGTTTCGCAAACTGCTGAAAAATTTGGTAAGAAATTTTTGTATTTTTTTTTTAAATATGTAATCTATCATTCCAAATTAGTAGCTTCCCGCATAGTAGTATTTACAGTACCCGTTCGTTTTTGGCACGGTTCGATTTTGGCAGCAAAATCACAAAACCGTTCGATTTTGGTGCGGAATCGATTTTGGCACCGTGCCAAAATCGAACGGTTTTTGAAAATTATGCATTCTTGCTCCTTGTGACTACAGTTTATAATAAAATATTAATTCAATCAATAGTTTTCATAAGGGCGTAATTGCTTTTGTAAACAATGGCTTTAGTCGTCGATTTCTCGCGAATCAAAGCTCATACATGTAAATGAACGATGCCAGCAGATAGAGGAAACATTCATCTACCTGATAGCGTCATTCATTTACATGAGTGAGCTTTTATTAGCGAGAAATCGACGACTAAAGCCATTGTTTACAAAAGCAATTACGCCCTTATGAAAACTATTGATTGAATTATAATTGAATTCTAGATTAAAAAGGTACAGTCAACTCTTCCTTATACGATCTCTCCGTTACTCGATATTCTCACTAAGTCGATGGTCCCTTCAATATTGAGTTAGGGAGCGTTAACTGTATGTACGAGAGTAGGATTAAGTGGCGTAAGACAAGTCAACTTGTACGTTTGTTCATTGATTGGATTATTGACAAAATCAACAGATTCAATGCCAAATGATGGTTTGTCTTTTCAAACTTACAATGAGCCTAACAATGTTGACAACCCACAAAATTAATAAGCCAGCATCTATTAAGCAGGTTACGCAAAATAAGGGAAAGTTAGTTTCGTCACTCCTTCTCCTTGGAGTGTGAGGAACTTAATGGATCGCCCCTTAATCAGGTAACTGACCTATCTTACCCCTCGATCTATTTTGCATGAACTTACCCTATAATATAGCGGAAGCAGTTGCCTCTGGGTCATTAGCACTTTTACCGAAACCACACACAGTCAGACTTGGTTGTACAACTTGGTCGAGTCGGACGAAAAGTCTGACCGTGTGTGGGAAAGTTGTACTACATGTCGTACAACTTCCCCACACACGGTCAGACTTTTCGTCCGACTCGACCAAGTTGTACAACCAAGTCTGACTGTGCGTGGGCCCTATTAGTACGCTACAAAGATGACCAGCGGACCAGGATAAGGGCAATGCAAGCCGACTAGATGGCCGTCCCTTTGGGGTCATAGAACCAAACCCAACACAGCATGACGTTTCCACACAGGATTCGATATTCAGCAAGGTGCAGGAACTGGGTCGTGAAGGCAAGCATGAACCGCTACTAATCGAGTAAATATGTACCTGTCTAGACGAACTTCATCCTAGGTGACGCCAGATAGCACAGTTGTTTTGCTGGATGTCTTCAACTTTGCTGTAGCTTCCGCCAGGATGCAATGATATGTGAGCGACTTGTGTTCTGCATGTTGCAATCACTGAATCCGGGCGTGATGGACCAGCCATGGTCGTAGGAAAACTGTTGAGGCTGCTGGTACTGAGTGCTGACCGGGGTCGGTTCCTCCTGTTCCTCCATTTTCAATCAGTGTCGTCGACAGGTGGGCAGGAAACCGTTCATGTAGAGAGCGCTTCTACTGGTGACGCTGACGAAGTCTAACTATAAGCTGCTACTGCCGCTGAGGATCTGAGTACCCGAAAAACCGAAATTTATACTGATTTCCCGGTGATGACGAGCACTATATCGATTCCGGCTGTGCCTTCGGACATGGCACACAAAAACGCTTCGAATTAAACCCGAACAAGTACGTTGAAACGGTGACATAACGTAACAAAAATCAAGTAACATGATGACGTATGGGAGAATCCAAACAAAACAAAAAGTCATAGTCATAGCACAGACAAAAAGACATAACTCATTGAATATTTCTCACTGTAAAACATCGTCACTAAAACATTACCGCCATCTATTGAGTACACAGTGGTGGGCACTACGTTGAACAGATGGCGGTAGTGTGTAAACGTCATACGCAAGGGAATTGACTATGCGCGCCACAGGTGGCGGTACTACCAACTGCGATACTTTTAAATTGTTCGATGAACAACTTACGAGTGTTATGTCTGTTTGTCTGTGGTCATAGGGTGACCATATCGTCGCTTTCGGAATGGATTGAACACGAACGTAAAAAGTTACTCATAGGTCGAGTAAAATTTGCTCTCACGCGGCCAGCATGCAGAAATGAGGGGTAAAATGTCAAAAGGGCCTATCTCGATTCGTAAACAATGCCTTCTAACGGTAATTTCTCACGAATGTCAATACACCCACGCAAACCAACCGCACCATCTGATAGAGCAGAGTTTATAGAGCAGAGAAATGTCATGACTAGTTTGACACAATTTCTGACGGGATAACTACTTTTCAGTTGGAACGTCAAACAATTAGTGAACTCCCAACTAAAAAGCGGCTCGACAAGAAGACCCCCAACCAGCGAATGATAACTGTATTGGGAAAGTGCAGATTGTATTCTCGAACTCATGTGGCAATATACAAGTTTCGTGATAAATTTACTCGTTTATAAAATGTTGATCTATTGACATTATGCATTATACGAAACATACCATATTATCCTATAAATTATTTTGCTTTAAGAAAACCTTATTTGATGAGTCAAGTGATGCGGAACAAACGGAAACACAGAAGCCCGTGGAGCTTATTGAAGAGTTTTCACCACCAAATGCAAAAAGGGTATTTCTGCTAACTTAATTTTTCAAATCATAAAAAGTGAAAGAGTTTGTTCCATTACAGTTCAAGAACTTTACGGAATATAATAGAGCAGCGATTGGACTTCCTCCGAACTAAATTTGGCAACGTGAATTTGCAACCACAAATTGTTGCAGTAGGCGCAACAAGGGCGGATACAGGAGTTTTCGTGATTTTTGGAGGAGTGGAGTATATTGCTGAGAATATTCTGCATGCTGTGTGCGTTTGTATGCACATCACGTATGTTCTGAATCTGCAGTACGCTCCAGACTGCAAACCGTTGTGGCTGTTTATTCAAACTTACCTGTTCAAAATACCCGCATCGATCGTTGAGCTGCCGGAAAGTACGCGTGACTTGTTGCAGTCAATCGACAATTGACGATGCTTGTTATTGTTTTTGATTAAATTGAATTATCTCTTATGAAATAAACCAAGAAAACACGAAATGACCCACAAAACCCTGTTTTAATCGCTACGACCATCACTACCACTACCAATTGAATATCATTATCTTAAAAGAAGCAAATAATTTGATTCGTAGCTTGGGATATTTGAATCATAATGGGGTTGTACCATAATCATGAATCAAGTTTTTAAATTCATGAAAATAATTCATGGTTTCGACTCGGATGAATCATGATTTCGGGAATCGATTTATAAAATGCCTGGAATCATAAATTATCCGTACCATTATCATGAATCAAGCTTTCAAAGCCATGAATATAGCTCATGGTTTCAACTAAGATGATTCATGATTTCGTGAATCTATTTACAAAATGCCTGGAATCATAAATGGTTCGTACCATAATCATGAATCAAGTTTTCAAATCCATGAATATAGTTCATGGTTTTGATTCGGATGATTCATGATTTCATGAATCTAGTTACGACACCTCGTCAACCGAAAAAAGTCGTAACGCATAGGTTGCGTTACGAAGAAAAAGCTCATGAAATCATGAATATTATTCATGGTGTATATTCATAACATGAAAACACATCATGTTCATGAAATCATGAGTCATTTTTCTCATTTTGGATTTCTTCCCGTGCGAAGTTTGACTGCGTGGTAATGGACGACGAAACCTACGTCAAAGCCGACTACAAGCAGCTTCCGGGACAGGAGTTTTATACGGCAAAAGGAAGGGGAAAGGTAGCAGATGTTTTCAAGCACATGAAACTGTCAAAGTTCGCAAAGAAATATCTGGTTTGGCAAGCCATCTGTACCTGTGGCTTGAAAAGTAGCATTTTCATAGCTTCCGGGACTGTCAACCAAGAAATTTACGTGAAAGAGTGTTTGAATAAACGTCTGCTGCCTTTCCTGAAGAAACACGGTTGTTCCGTACTGTTTTGGCCGGATTTGGCATCTTGCCATTACGGTAAAAAGGCCATGGAGTGGTACGCCGCCAACAACGTGCAGGTGGTTCCCAAGGACAAGAACCCTCCCAACACGCCAGAGCTCCGCCCAATTGAGAAATACTGGGCTATTGTCAAGCGGAACCTAAAGAAGACCAAAAAAACTGCTAAGGGCGAGCAGCAGTTCAAGGCAAACTGGCTTTCTGCGGCGAAGAAGGTGGACAAGGTGGCTGTACAAAATCTGATGGCAGGGGTCAAGCGTAAGGCCCGGCAATTCGGATTTGGAAAAGCGGAAGCCTAACTGAATATTTTTCCTGAATTTTATACTAATTGAACTTGAAAAAGAAATTTAATTTGATTTTTTAAATAAACGATTTCACCGATTTACACGCGTTTTCCCTTGACCAAATTTTGACCGTATCACCGTACCGTAATTGAAGTTTTCTGGGCTTACTCTAAAAGTCCACTGGATTGCTCTAGAAGCACTTGCGAAACGTGCTCAAGTAGTCCTATGGACTTACTTTAAAAATCCGTTAAATATGCTCCACTTTCGGACTAAAAGGGACTCCTAGAATATGAATACCAGCGGATTTCTCCAGCTTCTAGAGCAAGCCCAGAAGGTTTCTACTAGAAGTTCAAAGAAAGTTTTCTGGGCATGCTCCAGAAGTCCTCTGAGTTTCCACTGGAAAGCTTCAAAGAAATCTGAACGTGCTTAAGGTCTCCTTTAAGAGTCATTTTCTATAAGTTTATTGTACTTATTCCTACATTCCAAATTTTAAAATCTTCCGGACATGTTCTAGAAGCCTTCTGGACTTGCTTTATAAGTCTTCTGAACTGATTCTAGAAATCCTTTGAACATGCTCCAGAAGTCCACTAGGTTTGTGCAGAAAATCTTCTGGACTTACTCTAAAAATCTTTTAA